GTCTTTTGAACACCTCCAGGGATGGTGCCTCAACCACCTCCCTGGGCAGCCCATTCCAATGGCTGAGAACCCTTTCAGTGAAAAAATTCTTCCTAATATCCAGCCTGAACCTCCCCTGGTGCAACTTGAGGCCATTTCCTCTCGTCCTGTCGCCTGTGACTTGAGAAAAGAGACCGACCCCTATCTCTCTACACCCTCCTTTCAGGGAGCTGTAGAGAGCAATAAGGTCTCCCCTCAGACTGTTTCCAACTGCCCGCCCTCGCGTTTCAGTTGTCGTTTGAGCTGCTGGGATGCTTTCTGAATTGAAATGGCACTTGCTAAAGAGAAATTTCAGCTAATAAATCTGTGGACCTCGGGTTTATTTGTCTAGCTACCGGGTAAAACTATTTGATAGGTGTCTTTAAGACATGAATGACTTGATTGTCTTAAAAACGGAGTTGGGAAGAGACCTTAAAGAGACCTAAAGCTAGTTCGATGCCTCACAAAGATGGTACTACAGGAATAATGCAAGGGATAAAGCCTCTGGAAGATGCCATAGAATCACAGAATTTTGTAGGTTGGAAGGGACCTTTCAGATCATCAAGCCCAACCATCAACTCAACACTGACAAAACCTACCACTGACCCATGTCCCTCAGCACCACGTCTGCCCAGCTTTTAAATACCTCCAGGGATGGCGACTCCACCACTGCCCTGGGCAGCCTCTTCCAAGGCTTGACAACCTTTTTTGAGGAAGAAATTGTTCTTAATATCCATCCTAAACATCCCCTGGTGCAACTTGAGGCTGTTTCCTCTTGTCCCATCGCCTGTTCCTTGGGAGAAGAAACTGATCCCCCCCGGCAACACCCTCGTTTCAGGGAGTTGTAGAGAGCGAGAAGGTCTCCCCTCAGCCTCCAGGCTGAAACCTCCAGCTCCCTCAGCCTCTCCTCACAAGACTTGTGCTCCAGACCCCTCACCAGCTCCATTGCCCTGCTCTGAACCTGCTCCAGCCCCTCAATGTTTTTCTTGTTGTGAGGGGATCCAACTTGAAGCAGATAGAAGTAGAACATGCGGTGAGGCGAGAGTAGCACTTGGTGGTGCAATTCCACAGAGAAGTCCTGGAGATTCAGGAGGGCCCCACTTGAATTTAACCCCTGAAATGATGAGGAAGCTTTTTAAGGTTGAATTATCTCGCTCACAACCTTTGTAAGTTTTAAAGGAGAACTGGAGCACCCTGTGTCAATTTTGGTAGCGCATGTCTCTAGAGATCCTTTCTCCATGCCTGGTGTTGAGACCTAACGCCTCTGTTTGTGCCCTGTATTTACAGAGCCCTGAGGGGTGGAGGGGTGTCCTTTGCACAGTGTGACTTCAAACCTCCATTTTTGGCTTGGAGGTGGCTTTCAATCATCAGTTTATCCTTTTCCAGTGCCTGATGTATGGCTATTTGTCTCCACAGGTGATGATGCGAAGTAGCCAGCCCCTGACAGGTACGAATGGGAGACGGTGTAAAGAAGATGAGAAGCTAATTAACGCCACGCTTCGGCCTGGCAAGCGGGGCTACATCATTGATACCAGGTCACTGAATGTTGCCCAACAGGCCAGGGCCAAAGGAGGGGGTTTTGAACAAGAAGCCCACTATCCCCAGTGGAGGAGGATTCACAAATGTATCGAGAGGTGGGTGAAATCACGCGGGCTCTCCTCCTCCTTGGCTTTGTAGGGTTGAGTTGGCAGAGCCATGTCAGGTCCACAAAGTATTTGATTCTATAAGAAGGGGCCGTGTGTCCTGTCAACGGGATCACATTCCCTTTTTTTGGCAAAATCATGGGATGTGGATGGAGGCTTGGAGCAACCTGGTCTGGTGGGAGGTGTCCCTGCCCTGGTTTGGACTGGATGATCTTTAAGGTCCCTTCCAACCCAAACCATTCTGTGATTCTATGACTTTGAGATCAGTGAGTGTAATTCTGTAAGCACGTTGTCCTGCTTGCTATGTTGCTGCTTATATTTTCAATAATATTTTGCTTTTCCCACAGGTTTAATATTCTGCAGGAAAGCCTCATCAAACTCGTGGAAGCTTGTAATGACCAGTCGCACAATATGGACCGCTGGCTCAGTAAACTGGAAGCTTCCAACTGGCTGACCCACATCAAGGAGATACTGACCGCCGCTTGTCTGGCTGCTCAGTGCATCGATAGGTAAAACTTTTTCAGAGAGCCTTTTGAGTTTCTCATTCTCTGATTATAGATTTACTCATTAAATACCCCTATTTCCACTTTTACTATTAGTAACTGGCCACCGTGAACTGGTTTGCACGAGCAAGATACTGTTTCATCATGCTCAAGGAATGTTCCTCCCGTAAATCATACTTGCATTTTCAGAAGTACAAGCCTGAGGGAGGAAATCTTGACTAAGAATAGATATTAGATCACCTAGTTGAGGTTTATTCCTATGTCTGATGCTACCCATCTAATTTGGTGAGTTTTATTGAAGGTTTAGGTTAGAATACGCCCATTTGAAGCGCTGTGTGGTAGCTTGTAAAGTGAGAACACAACGTTTTTTTTAAAAAAAGGTCATTTTTATCCTTTAGCTTAAAGGTTCCAATGCCCCATTTTGCTTGTAGGGATTAAAACAGTGGCATTTCCTTGTTTTCCCCAGGAATTGGTCCAGTGCTTTTTTCCTCTTGAAATTTTGATCTCCATAGTCTTACCTAAGCAATCCTGTTCATCTCTTTTAAGTGTTTGTGTCCTCTTTTAACCTGACATTATTTCTTTTAACCTGACATTATTTCTTTCGTAAATACTGCTGACTTGGCTAACTTGTCCTCAAAATGTATTCAGACCTCAGGCCTGAGAGCAAAAACTAGCTGTCAGGTGCCAGGGTTTGTAAGACCCAAGTGCAGGGGACTAAATGTGATTTCTTTGTGGCTCTGAGAGGGGAAAGCCCTTCTCAAAACTCAGGGAAAAGCTGGCTTTTCATAGCAACTCGGGAACATGTTACACGCAGGTAGGCTGAAATGCAGTCTTATAGATAAAACAGCACCAATGCAATAAAACATTACTTGCTGTGCTTTTTAAAAGCACTGGCTGTGCCTGTTTAGTTATTGACTGTCCTCTTGATCAATAGTTTTATCTGTAATTCTTTCCCCCGTGTGTATAATGAGAAACATCGGTGATGAAACTCCTCCGGCTTGTTGGGACAGCGGACGATTTCATCATTTTTAACTTCAGCTTCCCTTTTTCTGTTTACCCAGAGCTTTGGAAGGCTGGCTCAGCTCTGCTGCCTCCCTCAGAGCCCAGAGGGAACGGCTGGGTCAGACCTCACAGCATCTTAAAGATGCCTGAAAGGACAAAAAGGGAAAATCAGGGGAAAAGGAGAGAGTATCTGAAGATTATCTGTGCTGTGGAGGGACTGGGTCTGTTTTAGACGTAGGACTAAAGACAAAGATGTTGCAGTGTTCAAGGAATAGATCTTTATCCTCTTCATTTCAAAAAGTGATGTGTGCAGGCTTACTTGCTTGGTAGATCTTTCTCACCCATGCTTTGCTGCTTAGGTTGGGTGTCTGTGCAGCAAGAAACGCATCCTGCAGTTAATTTCCTTTCTGGGCATATGGTTCTTTCTTACCCATGCTTTGCTGCTTAGGGTGGGTGTCTGTGCAGCAAGAAACACATCCTGCAGTTAATTTCCTTTCTGGGCATAAGAATGTTGGCAGAAGCGAGGTGTAGGGTCAAAGTTTGGGAAGAGCAAGGGGGGTCAATGCTGTTTAATAGCATCCAGTCCTTCCCTCAGGAGATTCTGGTGTTGTATCCCAACACAGCCAGGGCTGGAGGAATAGGGAAAGGAATTGGCTGTCCTGAACAGTCCTCACAGCACATGGGCCCCTGTAAAAACCTTCCTGAAGTCTCTGAGCTTCTTCTGCTCCTCACATTGTTCTGCTGATTCACTTGTGCTGGCTGGTGAGCGAGAAGCCTTTGTGCTTGGCTCTCTGACAAGCTTCCTTTCTTAGCGCACCAGCTCCTCTGCCTTTGTGGAGGCCAAGCTCTGCCATTGCTTTCTCCTGAAATGGTTTAATTTTCCTGCAGTGACCTCCAATTGAAGCCCAAATACAATTAAGCCCAGGTTTGAGCAAGAATCTCATAGTATTGTTTTGCAGAACGTCTGGGGGGATGGTACGTCTTCATTGCAGGGCTTACGGGAAGGTTTTAGAGTCCTCAGCAAAACAATAAATGACAATAAACAAAACAATAAATGACACAAGCAGATTTTGAGATGCGTTTCCATGCTATGACTCGAAGGGGTATTCAAAATAGCACCACAAAAGAGATTTCACTGCACATCCTCGGTCAACGTGGCAAAGGTTCTGGATTTCCAGGGTGCTTAGGAAGAAAACAAGCCTTCACTGATGCAGAGGTCTCATTAGTGTTGGTGAGGACCCAGGTGGAGACGGTGATTTGGCTTCCACGTGGTGTGGGGAGTAACTTATGGGAGGGAAGAAGGGGTGAAGAGCCAGGAAAACTTCACGGTAGCAGCACTGGTGTCCATGGGATGCATATGGCATCCATACATACTTGGGCTATGTTCTATTCATTTGTGCTCTTATTCCTTTCCACCTTTTTCTTTGACAGGGAAGGTGCATCAGTGTTAGTCCACGGGACCGAAGGAACCGATTCCACGCTCCAGGTAACGTCTCTGGCGCAGATTATCTTGGATCCAAGGTGCAGGACCATCTGTGGCTTTGAATCTCTTGTTGTGAGGGAGTGGCTGCAGGTAAGACATGCCTGTGGACAAAGCAACCATCTATTCCAGTGACAGTTGTGTTGGGAAATAGCCCAAGAGGCAGCAAACAGGTTGGGCCTTGTTGCAGCCCTGCTGAGTGTGAATGGCCTTTGTCCCAAGAGCAACATCATTAACTGAGTCATTTGTACCTCCTGGACTCCATGGGGCTTCTCATGGTAGTTTTTGGGGGTTGGAGAACTGCCTGTTTTGTGTGCTGAGGGTGACCATCTCTGTAGAGAACACTGTTGAGGCTAAAAGACAAAACTTTAGTTCCAGTTTTGTACTCTTGCAACTAATCATAGAATCATAGAGTGGTTAGGGTTGGAGGGGACCTTAAAGATCATCCAGCTCCACCCCCTGCCATGGGCAGGGATACTTCCCACCCTCACAGGAAAGAGTTACTTCCTAATATCTAGTCTAGATCTCCCCTCTTTCAGTTTAAAACCCTTCCCCCTCCTCCTAGGGCTCCCCTCCCTCATCCAGAGTCCCTCCCCATCTCTCCTGGAGCCCCTTGAGGGACTGGAAGGGGCTCCAAGGTCTCCCCAGAGCCTTCTCTTCTCCAGGCTG